TGCACTTACTAGGCATCAACTTGGAATAGTATGTCTGTTCGTTTCATGCAAATTCATGGCATTGTTTTTCTTGTGATTATTAGAAGCAGAATGGGTTTACTATATTTTCCTTTATTTATTGTCATCAGAGATTCTCAAATAAAATCCACTTTACCAATCTATAACAGTCTGGTTTTTTTATTATTATCAGCCTGATCATTTATTGTAGCTGGGGTTATTATCAGTAATATTAAATATAGCAGTCATATCAAATGTATACCTTTTAATTTTTTTGGCGACCCCTGGTGGTTGTTTTTATTGTTAGTCGCCAGAAACCATCAGTAAGTTCATTGCACTTTGGTTGTCGTTACATTTTTATTGATTTATTTAGTCATTTATCAGACGCTTTTGTCCAAAGCGACTTGCAAACGAGGGCATTTTAAAGTTATACAGTCTCTTACAAAACAAACCGGCGATATTCGGTTATTTTTGTGCATTCTCATTACAAATGAAACCCATCAGTCAAAACGTGACTCGCTGTTACACAAGGACCATTTTATAACGCGATTTCAGTTTATTCAAACGCGAACACGAGTGCGTGTCCCTCTTCGGCTGCCGTACGCGGATTAAAGCGTCAAAGCGACAAAAACATTAAGTGCAACAGAGCAAGTATGCCGCATAATTCCAGCACCAGACTACAGACAGAAGTGCGTATTCTCTGACAACACAAAGGACCTTCCCGGTGAGCTTGTGTAACGTGTGTCTGAGCGAAGAGGCGCGTAAAGGACGCACAGGCCCGGAGAGTGTGTGGTGATGGAGTCGTGGGTGAGATTCAGCGCGCGGAGTCAAGCCAAAGAGCGCGTGTTCAGGTACACAAACACTCACTCACTCACTCACTCACTCAGTGCAGTGCATGCTCACTAGTTAGTTTCCGTGACAGCATGAGGTTTGCAGCCTGTTTAGAGACTCGGGAGTGCTGCACTGGAAGTTGTGCTCATTGATACCGTTTTTGTTTTCAGCTACTTTACAATTAGTAGTATTAAGAACAGTATCAATCACGTTTTAGGCCATAGTTAGTATTTATTAAAGTGCCTCTGAGTACCATGTGAATATTGTTTATGGGTATGAAACCCAGTCAGTACCATGCCAAAATTAACATCATAAATACTTCACTATGTGTACTCCTATTATAAGGGATGCTCTGGTTATTAAAGCAAGGTTTACTGGGAGAGAACCAGCATGTGTTTAAGTAACCAGGCGTTTGAGTGCTGCTGATGTCACTTGCTATAGTGTGTTTTTGTGGGTTGATGCAACAATATTACAGCTTTTTCTGTATTTCTGATCAAGTAACATTGCCTTGATGAGCAGAAGAGACTTCTTTATAAAACATTATAAATCGTGCTGATCCCAAACTGTTGAACGGCTGTGTAAGTGTTCTGATGCTTATTGGAGCCGTGTAATGTGACTGCTGGTTTTCATTGATTGATTGTGTTTGAGCAGGGCTGCCCAGTACGCCTGCACACTGCTGGGTTACACGCTGCAGAAAGGAGGAGCGAGAGCCGAGCTGCTGGACACCATCAAACAGCTGGAAGCTCACATGAGCCTGGCCAGAAAATGTACGTTTAGGATCTCCAGCTGAAGTCAGTGGTCAGGAGAATCAGGGTTGGGCTCTACAAACTCCCTTTTGATTTATGCGTTACAGTTTGAGTTAACAGGATGCTGAACTGGGAATGGCAGGAGAGGAATTTACTGAATTGCAATTTAAAGCAGAGCGATCGTACGTTTTCAGAAGAGAAAGTCCAACGCAGGTTTTGCAGAAACATATAAGTAGTAATATAACTAAACCTCAGAGACCGAGCGTAGCAGAATTGCAACATATGCACACAGCAGTTAAACAATACTTGCTTTTCACTGAAAGTGGGTAAAAATTCTGTATAGCAGCAGCTGACACTTTAACATTTATCTTTTATATTATAAGTTCCAATGGGAAAAAATTGCATTATATTTTTGCATTATATATAAATCTATATGTCTGGTGATGGCTTGCATGCCCTTAAAGGAACACTCCACTATTTTTGAAAATGGGCTCATTTTCCAGCTCCTCTAGAGTTAAACAGTCGAGTTTTACCGTTTTTGAATCCATTCAGTCGATCTCCGGGTCTGGCGGTAGCACTTTTAGCTGTAGCTTAGCATAGATCATTGAATCTGATTAGACCGTTAGCATCTCGCTCAAAAAGGACCAAAGAGTTTCTATATTTTTCCTATTTAAAACTGGACTCTTCTGTAGTTACATCGTGTACTAAGACCGACGGAAAATGAAAAGTTGTGATGTTCTAGGCCGATATGGCTAGGAACTATACATAGCAAATACATAGCTTGAGTCTCTGAGGGTTAATTTAGACTGATTGTATCTCTTATTACTAATGTTAATTAGTGACGTGGTTCCATTAAGTGACTCCTGATGCCTAATCTCTTTACAGTCCCAGGATGTGTGTATGTTGCCGTCCCCGCTCCGTGTTTGATTGATTGAGTCTGTCTGTGTGTGTTTTGTGTCAGTGATGCGGTTGGGGAACTCGGCTGAAGCTCTGGAAGCAGCCAAACGCACCGTGCATCTGTCAGACTGTGTGCTGCGGCTCTGCATCACTGTGGCCCATTTGAACAGAGCCATGTATTTTGCCTGTGATAACGTACTGTGGGCCGGCAAAACGGGACTGCTGCCCGAACTGGACCAAAACAAATGGAGCCAGAGGTCGTTTAGGTGAGTTCTAGATTCATTTGTTTTCTTTGCAGAAGTCAACAGATTTTACTAATAGACTTGCCAATCTTTGTGTAAAAATAACATCATAATGCTGCCATCTTCCTGAAGTCATTATTATTTTATCTGTAATTCGGCTCTGAATCTCAGGTGAAAGTTATCATTTCGACTCTGTAATTTACTCCGTAAATACACATCTTTGACATTTAATATTTTGGCTAATATACAGTATATATTACTGTATATTATAGATATAGATATATTTGGTATTTTAATATTGAGATACTATAGTGATATTTTTATTAATATCACTATAATATTATTAATATTTATATATTTGTTAATATTTAATTTTATATTTTCTGTTTTCAGTTTTAGTAATTTTGTTGTCATTTTTGTTAGCTTTAGTTTGTTTATATATATATATATATATATGTGTATGTCTATATAGTTTTACATTTTTATTTCAGTTTTAGCTATTTTAGTACAAGTTAAACTAAATGAAAACGAGAAATGCTTAAGGTCAAATAAAAAAACGAAACAAAAACAAAAAACATTTGTTACTTAATTTTTCTTTAAATAAAATAATCTTTAACTGAAAAAATTTTTTTTTCAGTTAATTTTACAAAATGAAATTATGATTAACGAAGATATTTTTTAATGGCTTTAGTTTTAGTTAACTATAATAATCCATATACATTTCTATATTTTTATTTAATTTGATTTTGCGGGTGAAAATTTGATTTAATTCTGTGCATGAATTCGCATCACCCATCAAAAATGACCCTGGAATTTCTTTGTATTTTTGTATGTATCAAAATGATTTACTAACAATATATGGAGATGGTTGCATTTCTTTTTAATATTTTGAGCACAGCATGAAATTCACAATTTAATAACCCGACTTTCTCTCACTTCCTGTAAACAGATACTACTTGTTCGCACTCATCCTCAATCTAACCCGAGACGCGTATGAAATCCGTCTGCTGATGGAGAGAGAGTCCCGCAGCAGTTCAGCTAAAAGCTTTACCTCCAGTCCGTTTCCCCTCACGCCGAGCCCAGAGAACGGAGGAGAGTTCCCTCTGACCCCGTCGCCCTCCTCAGTGCTGTCTCCTCTGCCGCCCCTCCCCATGATCTCAGCCAGACTCAACAAGCAGTTCCAGCTCCTGATCACGGTGCTGCACAACAACCCTCCGCTGCTCCTGGACCTGCTGAAGAACCTGTGTGACGTCTTCATCCCGCTGGACCGGCTGGGCCTGTACCCCACGGGCTCGGGCTTTGTGGGGGCCTGCGGCCTCACGTCCTCTATCCTGTCCATCCTCACTATAGTTCACCCCTGGCTCAAACTCAAGCCCTGAGTCACAGGGCGAGAACTACCTGTCCTGTGGCTTTATTTCTGAAGAGAACCTCTCTTCAGCTTGTGTAGATAGTGGAAAGGAGAATGTTTGTCCGTCATTCCAGTTTAATTTACCTGACCTGATCTGATTAAAAACAAACAAAAAGCCCTGTTTAACAGTAATTTCAGTCTGTAGGCCTTAATAGGCCTATCTCTTATTATGTTGTATTCTAGGCTCATTTTGAGGAAAAAGTATGTGCTTTCTGCAAATGTAATTTTTTATAATTTTTTTAAGTCTGAAAATGTCCTAGTCTGGCCACATTTTAAGTTATTCCTCTCATGTTACCCCATATAATGCTGTAGTTTTCAGAATGGGGGTGTTCAAGTGCTCTTGCAATTCAGCACAGAACTACTTGTAAACTTACTTTCATAATCATAATTTTCTCCTGATGGTGAATCCCTTTAAGAAATGCCAGGGTTACATTTCACCCCAAAATCAATGGAATATCTCCATAAATGAAATCTAATACAACAAATATGTGACCTTTACAAATGTACATTACAATTTAAATAATTGTATTTTAGTAATAATAATAATATAGCTTTACAAGATTCAAAATGTCACAGCAAAAATATATATATATACACACACATATGTATGTATTTTTGTGTGTGTGTGTGTGTATATATATATATATATATATATGTATGTATGTGTTTTTTTTTTCTTCCATAAGCTGTATCTTAAACTATAGATTTTTATTGAACATAAAGCATTTTTTTTTGTCAAATTTGCTAATCAAACAATATTGTACAGGGATACTGTTTAGTTCTGATTACTGTTAAAATTTGATCCTTTATTCAATAGATATTTTTAAATCTATATCTATGTTTGAAGCTGTTTCTTGTTTTTCTGGAGTTGTGAACTTCTGTAATTTGTTACTAAACTCATTTCAAAACTAGTACTTTACATTTTTTTCCGTGATTAATAAATTACCAACCAAAAAGGTTTTGCGAAACGATTAAGAAGTGATATATGCTATCAACTGATATTTGCTTAATTTATCTCATAACTGAATCAAAACTACATCATTGACCGTGCTATAATGCAGATTTTTTTTTAAATGTATGTATACATGACCTATAGAGTTTTATGTAACATAACCATATTTTGAAACTTATTGAATGTTAATGCTATGCATCACTGGGGTTACAGAAGGGTGACATAATGGAGCTGTGAATCTAACTTTTGAAATAAATAATGCCTTGAATTTTATTCTCTACTCTGATTTTTCCTCATATACCATGTGCATTAATTAGGAGTTCACTCATTTTATACAACGTCAGCAAATTAGAAACTTCTTGAACTTTGTCAAGAATCAAGGCTATTATTTGCAGCCTCCCAATGATTCATCTGTTCTGTTCTGGTGTGGAATCACTCATGTGTGTGCAGTCGTCTTGCTGTGCTGCATCTCACCATGAGAGGGAAACACAACTCTACATTTACTTATCATCTTTCTGTTGAGGTGACCAGATTTCTAAAATAAAATCCTAGCTCAGTGTATATAATTAATAAATATATATAATAAAATATAATTTAAATCTCACTTATTATCTATGAATTAAAAATGAGGGACAATATGTTTTTGTTTTTAATTGTTGTGGGTTCCATATAATACCATAATAATAATATAATGATATTTGCAAACTGACCCTAGCTTTAGGTTAATACAATTCACCAAAAATAACTATGAAAAACGAGAATACTTTTTGTATGCGAAGAAAACAAAAATAACGACTTTATTCAACAATTCTTCTCCTCTGTCTCTCTCCACATCACCGTAGCGCCGTGGAGAATATCTGCTTAACACAAGCAGCGTATGCTATTCTGTGTCAGCCGTGCCACAAGGATGCACTGTTTTTATTCAAATCAAAGCGTAAATACACGTAGAAAACGTATCCTTGTGTTGCGGCTGACACAGAAGTGCGTATGCTGTGTTCAAGTCCTCCTGGGACGTTACGAGTTGACAAGTCGTAATTACGACGTCAGGTGCGTTCAAGTTAGTTTAGTCGGCACAAGATGGCGGTGCACCTTCTTTTAATAAATTACAAGAAAATACAACAGGGTCTGATAACTCTGCTTATAGAAAATGAAGAGCAAAGAATTCGCATCAGGTGTGTTTTGCGTTTTTAATAATAAAAAAAAGTAATTTATGAAGCCAATTTAATCTGTATCGCATAAAAACTTGTTATTAATTGTTATATTACAATCCTGCCACATTCAAAAAGCTTATTTTTTGTAAATAAAAAGCCTGACAATGTCACTGCTTAATACCTATAAGTATTGTGATTTATGTTTTACTTTGATAGTTTAGTTGTCCTATAAAGATTGCCAATTTAAACAAAAAATTTACCTTCAACTACAGACGTTGCATCCATCGATTCCGCCATGTTTCTCATTTGACACGCCCCCAACTCGGAAACTAGGGGCTTAAAGAAAATTTAGAGTTTCCCACTCGTAATAACGACTTGTTGTGGCGTTCATGTGCGTTCAACTCGTAAATACGATCTATCCGACATGACTTGAATGCACCAGTATGCTGCTTGCGTTCAGCGGATATTCTCCAAAATGGTGCTATGGTTATGTGGAGAGAGACAGAGGAGACAAATTATTGAATAAAGTAGATATTTTTGTTTTCTTCGTGTACAAAAAGTATTCTCGTCGCTTCATAACATCACGGTTGAACCACTGATGGCAGATGGACTATCCTGACGATGTCTTTCATACTTTTCTGGACCTTGACAGTGCTATTTACTTGGCAGTCTATGGGACAGTCACAAGCCTCCCGGTTTTCATACAAAATATCTTAAATTGTGTTCCGAAGACGAACGAAGCTTTTACATGTGGGTAAGTGATTAATGACAAAATGTTCATTTTGGGGTGGAGTAACCCTTTAAGATAGATAACGATGGCTGCATTTGAATTTGCATACTTCCCCACTATATAGAAGGTGAAAAACAGAATGTGACAAAAGAAGTGTCCAAATTCACAGTACTAATAAAAGAGTAGGCCAAAAGTACTTGGATGACCTACTACTTCCGGCATGAAGTGTGCATGCGATGCAAAGCCACTGGAAGGCAAGCCTGCATTCATAAATTCATAAATTGCAAAACACTGTCCTGAACGAAGGTTATTAAGTAATTAAAAGTAAAAAAAAAGAAAGGATTTAGAAAAACATACTAATGCATTTAAGAATTATATGCTTATGCATGGACCCTGTGGTTATTTGTACTGTATGTGTTTAATAGCACAGATTGAGAGCACACAGTCTCCTGCTGTGAATGAGCTGCGGTGGGGGTCTATCCTCCTCCTACTCTCTCATTACAGTTACATCACATCACACTGATTCAGACTCTCTGTGTCACTCCCACATGGGTGCATTTGTTTGCATTACCCCCAACCCTATCTCTTCTCTTGGTCAGGATCAAAATCACTTTTAATTATCCAGTACATGTTTGGTAGTAGAGTGTTTGCGATATTGGACAACTGATTCTCAAGAGAGGCCACTGTTGGAGTAATAATAGGAAATGCTGTAGTTACACGTGCCTGTTGGGCTTTGTATTAATCTCGAATGTTTTCAGTAGGAAGTGAATGACATAAATGATGAGCAGAATGGGAATGGGTCACCCACCGCAGAGGCTTTCTCAACTCTCTCTCGCTCTCTTTATATCTCATTCAACATCCCTTCTTACCAAGCAACTCTCTTTTTACTGGAACATAAACTTCTTTATTAGGCTCCCAAAATGTAGTAGTCATGGAGATATTAAATGGCTTTGTGACAATGGGGTCCAGGGCTGAGATCAGTACTTTTCAGTGTGGTCTCAGACGTTTGGACTCCACCAACAAAGATCTGGACACACACGGTGCTGCAGACAGTAACATTATACCAGGACCCATGCCACTTTTGAAAGAGATAGAGAGAGGATGAGTAATGTTTTCATGAGTCTGTGCCAAGCTGAGCTTAAAACTGTGTTAATAGACAACTGATTGTCTCTGAACTCCTTACATAAGCTCAAGTTTGAGCTCCAGACCAATCACATCATTGCATACCTAAAAAATACAGACTACTGACTGTTGCAAACTGAAATGAAAAATATGTTTTTGACAGTAATTGAAATAAAATAGCACAGACTTCAAGCTACAAACTTTTTAAAAATTAATAATAATCTTTTAACCATCCATTATTCCAACCAAGCAAAATTGTGACCGTGGACCACAAAACCAGTCATAAGGGTCAATTTTTTGAAATTGAGATTTATACATCTGAAAGCTGAATAAATAATCTTTCCGTTGATCTATGGTTTGTTAGGATCGGACAATATTTAGCCGAGATACTCTATTTGAAAATCTGGAATATTGAGAAAATCACCTTTAAAGTTGTCCAAATGAAGTTCTTAGCAATGCATATTACTAATCAAAAATTAAGTTTTGATATATTTACAGTAGGACATTTACAAAATATCTTCATGGAACATCTTTACTTAATATCCTAATGATTTTTGGCATAAAAGAAAAATCTATAATTTTGACCCATACAATGTATTTTTGGCTATTGCTACAAATATACCCCAGCGACTTAAGACTGCTTTTGTGCTCCAGGGCCACAATTGATTTGTTTACCCCAAGCTAAAGAATAATAATGTGCATTTGATCAGATATAACTGCAGTACAAGATTATGAGATGCATTATTTGAATGCTTGGCCAAAGAAATGTGTAATTAATCTAGATTTAAACAGAGAGAGTGTCTCTGAACCCCGGACATTATCAGGAAGGCTATTCCAGAGTTTGGGAGCCAAATGTGAAAAAGCTCTACCTCCTTTAGTGGACTTTGCTATCCTAGTGTAGCAGAATATTTTCTAATAATATTACCAAGGGGCAACCTGTATACTGAAAATAGCAGAGGACCTAGGACAGATCCTTGTGGCACTCCATACTTTACTGGTGACTCCCCGTTTAAATAAACAAAGTGGTAGCAACTGGACAAGTGGATCTAAACCATCTTAAAGCCTGCCCTTGAATACCTGTATACTTTTGTAATCGATCTATGAGTGTATATGTGTATATATATATATATAATATTCTAATTTCTGTTAAACTATTTGTGGGAAAGTGTGGGAACATTAAATATTGTTTAACTACATTTTTCCTGTCCTTCCCATTAGTAAAACCTACTAGAGATCTTTTAGATACACTTCCCCATCACACACTGTACATTGTACTATAAGGTCATATTATCTATCCTTTCTGAACAATAATCCACCCTGAGGTCTGTGGTTTATCTTTTGTGGACAGCTGATTCATACAGAAAGTTTTTCATTGTATGAATCATGTGTCTTTATTATGCACAAAATCCTATCAGATGTGTGCGGGGATTAGGATCGGCCCTCATGTCCTGTGCTGCCATATGAACCGGATACGAGCTGCGGGGCTTATGGGATACGGGAGGAGAGGAGAGGCACAGCTCGCGGTTGACATTCTGTCATCATCTCAATGCAGAAGATAACAGCGCTGTGGCTTTAGCAGGACAGCATTGTGCAAAACTCTGAATGACAAAGGGAGCGTGAGGTGAAGTGCATAGACAT